AATACCAATTTTGTCGAAGCACCTTATTGTTTAAGATAATTTCTTTCTTGTAAGCTGATCGTTTGACTGACATCGTAAGTTCTGTGATATATTTTTGAATTATTTTTATCGTTTCTTGGAGCACTTAATTAGCACTTAATTCTGCTGTATTTGTTTTTTCATTTATTATAGATTGCAGAAAATAGTATAACTTTTGTGACTGACCCAAGCAAATTTGTTCTAGACTTTTTTACAAAAAGCACGAGAGTGTAACAACACAGGAAATGTATATTTCAAGGAGGGAAAATATCATAAAGCTATTGTTCAATATAATAAAGCAATCAATGTTTATCCGAGAACAAAGACAAACATGAATGACCTCGCAATTTTTTATCAAAATAGAGCGGCTGCGAATGAGCAATTGGTAATAAAATTGATGATACTAATAATAAACAAAGTATGAAAATTGGACAAAATTGACTTTACAATTGATTATTGCAGTTCATATGGTATAAGAGTTACTGTTTACAATTGTAATTATAATTTACAGAAAAAATATAGTGATGTAAAGGCAGATTGTACAAAAGCGTTAGAGTTAAATCCAAAATACATAAAAGCTTTTTTACGTCGAGCACGTGCTTTAGAGCAATTAGAAGATTTGGAAGCTGCTTTGGACGATTTGAATACTGTGCGTATTCACGAACATTTTTTAAATCAAACTACAAATGCAAAGGCAGATAAAATCTTGGAAAAGCTTGGTGAGTTACATATCAAAAGCATTTGATACTAAATAAAATGTTATTCACTGCAAACAAAAATTAAGAATGAATAACCGAGAAATTTAACTTAAAATAAAAATTATTTCCAGTAAAACAATACGTCCAGGAAAATTTGGCAAACAACAAGTTTGCAATGCCAAATAAGGAGTTCGTCAGAAAGTACATTTTATCTTTCCCAAAGGATCCAGTATTTTCTAGACTTCAATATCCAGAAAATATTCCAGAGTAAGTATGGGTAGAACGTTTCTGATAATTGTGATTATCAGAAACATTCGTTTATTTTTAAATGTAATATTTGTTTTTAGGTTTCTCAAGAAACCATTACAAGCTTTAAAAGACAAAAAATACGATGATATAATACCGCTGTGCACGGAAGTCATTCAAAGACCCGAATTTGATACATTACCTTCATCTAGACTAGAGGTGCTATTGTTACGAGCTACATTTTACTTTCTCTTGAGCAACGTCGATTCTGCAATCCAAGATTTTGAAAAAATATTGAGTAGTAAAGATGCATCCGTTGATGTAAAGACAAACGTTCTGATAAAAAGAGGAGACTTATACATGCATCTCAAAAATCTTGAAATGGCTTTCAATGATTTCGAGTTAGCCATTAATATGAATCCAAGTTGTAGTGAGATCTACTATCACAGAGGATGGGTACGCATATTGAACAGATTTTTCCAGCATTGGGTCTAATTAAAAAGATGCCTAATTAAAAAGATAAAAGTTTAATTAAAAAGATAAAAGACAAGGTTAAAAAGTTAAAAAGTTAAAATAATTTTAACTTAACTTACAAGGAAAGGGACGGAAATACTCCCCTCCGATTTTGATGAACTTTTAATATGTTATTCTCTAGACAAAACCAAGAATTAAGCTACCGCATATTCGCTTTTTGAAATCTATGTTTTACGGTTTCAAGTGACTTTGGTCTAGACGTTCTTCTTCAATTTCAAATTGTTTCTCGTACATAATTTCTTGCAGCATATTTTCTATTTTGTCTTTTACTTCCATTTCTGATTTTATAATAGGAGTTTCGGGCACATTAAAAAATGTTGTAACAAATAACACAATTATCACATTTCTCGAATTAAACATTTTGCCTCTGAAAAATAATTATAAATAATAAATTGTAGTTATATAAACATCTTTAAAAATAAAAATAGTAAATATATTAAATATATAGTTAC